GGCCACCCTGTCAAGGGGCCTCCTTTTCCAGGGGGCCTCCTATTTTCAGGGGCCTCCAACTTTTACCTCGTCCTGCTGGCTGCTTTCAAGTATGACCTCCAAATCTAGCTTCTGAGCTCGGGCCAAGGGCTCCGCCACCGGGGGGGACGGGTGGGACATGTCCCCCCCAACCAAAATGTTGGGTGGGACATACTATCTTTTGTCCCCCCCCCCCCCCAATAATCGGCTCCTCCGCTGATAGATAAATCGACTCTTGTTCCTGACACCGAATACAGAACATAACTTGGAACATAAGTGCAAAGAATCTCCGAAGAAAAAAAACGTGATGAGAGTCTAATTAACCTGTCGTCGACAACCTAATTGTCGCCCTGTGCTTTAAGTCTTTTTCTGTTATGGGGGCCACGGATTTCAATTTTTTAGTAGACAATATCGACAGGCATTTTCGCGTTAGGTATATCAACGTGAGTCTACTGACGAATGTTCGCAATCATACGTCCCAGTCCGATGATGAATCCAGTAGGTATATCCAGTAGGTAATCCAGTAGGTATATCAAATAAGGATCTCTCAAATTCAATCAATTAAACAATCAATACGGAGATTATTTTTTCGGGTAAACGCTGTCGTTCTTTAAGAGGAAGCTTCCATCGGTCAAGTAAGAATATCGCAGAACTGTAGGATGAGAGAAACTGTTTGTTTAAAGTGTTTGAGAGGTTAACCCTCGTTCTTATATGGACTATGGTGGGTCGGATTGACCCACCCCTCAGTTTTTCACAAGTAACTCGCGTAAAAAGTGGTTTATCGTGACGAAACTATTAGTATTTCCCGGGAATTTTGCACATCCTCTGAAAATTTCATGATCCTAAGTCCTAACCCCATGGGCCATGACTTTTGAGCCTGTGGCCTATTTCTGGAGACCATGTCAGGCCGAACCACCGATTCGGTGTATGTTAGCGCACATTATCTGTACGTTTCCAGACTTGTTATGTCATAAAACCGAGCCAACATGTGAAATGACGGTAGACACATGCATTCTGGTAGGTGTCAAGGTCACGTGAATTAGACACATGCATTCTAGTAGGTGTCAAGGTCACGTGAATATCAGGTCAAGGTCATTACCGTTAGATGAATTTGGTTCACTTTTTCGAGCTAGGCATGTTACTAGGAAACTTTTTGGAGATGATGTCGAATTAAGCATATAACATTGAGAAGTAGTTTTGGTACCAATGCAACATGTTACGAAGCTGTCTGTGGTTGACACCTACTTTGGCTAGCCGGAGGGACACGCACTTGTTGATCTCACCTAACCTGATCCGACCTTCGCCAAATGCTAAAAATGGATTCAGATTCAGCGCAAAACTATGAGCCAGATACCATTAAAAAATGAAGCTGGTCTTTCAAGTTTTTTTTTTCTGTCTGGTGTGTCAATATGATGAAGGTACAATGACTACAATCTAATATTGGGTAATATTGCATGGGTCAGGTGGCCTACCATTTCTCTATTTTTTATTTTTCTAGTTAAAAAATCATCGTATCAGGGCTATGACGAAAAACAAGTGGCCTAAATCCGATGAGAAAACTGGATTTGGGGGTACCCTAGGTTTAGAGGAGACACTAGGGCGATGGGCGAAGAGCAGACCGTCCCCCCCCCCCCCCCCCAACCAAAAGTCCGTGGCGGAGCCCTTGGCTCGGGCAGATGTACCCAGGGGCGTAACCGCTTAAGCGAACAGTGCGGAAAGTCCGCGCACCATTTTTAAAACTTATTCCCCCTCCGATTTTTTTTTAGAATCTATTTGCCGCAAACGGCGCATGACCCCTGAAAACCCTTACACAAATGTCTTCCTCGTTTCCCAGGTGCCCCCATTAGCTTCATAGGCGCCCTCTTTGGCATATAAGCGCCCTATGTATAGTCATCAGAGACATCCCTATGTGTCCCACAGTCGCCCCGTTGTCGCATACAATGTGCGCTTATCATAGACGTCTCTCTTTTATGGACACTTGAAGGCGCCTCTCTTTGCCATGCCGGCGCTCCTGTTTCTTATGAATGCACCCCCAGGCCCCATGGCATTGATCAATTGCAGTCTGCAGATCTCTATTGCATGTGGACGCCCCTATATGTAGGCTTCAGAGGCGCCCCTCTTTCGCATTGAGGCGCCCCTATGGGCTTCATAGGCGCCCCTCTATTGCACGTAGGTGCCCTACTGTCTCAGAACCGCTCCCCTTTGGCATGCAGACGCCCATCTTTCGTACGGAGGAGCCGCTGTGGTTCTTAGAGATTAGACTTAGAGGTGCTCCCAGACGCAGATGGGGCTCTCGGAGTCGACAGTGTGGGACCTTCAGTCGCTGATGGGTGCCCGCCAGATGTGGACCCTCGGAGACGCCGGTATGGGGCCCTCAGAGATGCCGGTATGTGGCCCTTAGAGACACCGTTGTGGAACCCTCAGATACTTCAGTGTGAAGCTCTTACAATTGCTGGTGTGGAGCTATGAATGCGCTGGCTTAAATCGCTCAGAGGCCGGTACATGGACATTAGAGCTCAGTGAGAGCTTGTGTGGTGCCTTCAGTGGCCTTGTGGAGCCGTTAGACATCAACATGGTGCTCTCAGGAGCCGGTGAGTCGTCAGAGTCATCAGTGTGGGGCCTTCAGAGCTCCGGCCTCCGAGATACTGGTGTGGGGCCCTGAAAGGTGTCGGTGTGGGTCCTTCAGATGTATACCTATAGAGCCTTGAGATGCACAGGTGTGGTGGCCCACAGAGGCGCCGGTGTGGGGCCCCAGAGCCACCGATATAGGGCCCTAAGAGACACTAGTATGACCCTCAAAGGCGCCGCTGTGTGGCGCTCATAAACACTGGCGTGGAGCCATTACAGGCGGGTGGAGCCGTTAGAGGCCGGAAAGGGCCCTTAGATGCCTACAAGGAGCCTTCAGAAGCCGGCGTGGCATCCTTATGGGGATAAGCGTGTCTACTTAGGAGCCCTTGATGTGCTCTCATGAGCTCTGTGGGGCCCTACCGAGCCGTAATATGGCCACGGCCAGTTGCCGCCGCATGGCTCTTCGGACTATCATTCTCAGGGGCCTCATCTGCCTAGTTTGAATAGAAGGGCCTCTCAGACCATCAGTCTCATGGGCCTCCTCTGGCTAGTATAAATAGAAGGGCCTGTTAGACCATCAATCCTAGGGGCCTCCTCTGGTTAGTATAAATAGAAGAGCCTCTCAGACCATTAATCTCAGGGGGCTCCTGTGGACAGTATAAATAAAAGGGCCTCTCAGACCATCAGTCTCGGGGGCCTCCCTAGAAAAGTGTAAATGTGGATAGAGGGCCCCCTCAGATTCATTAGGAGTGGACCTCTCTGACTATCAGTCTCAGGGGCCAGTATGAATATAAGAGCCTCTCAGACCATCGGTCTCAGGGGCCTCTTCTGACTAGTGTGGATAGAGGGCCCTCCCAGACCACCGGTTTCAGGGGCCTCCAGTGGCCAGTTATATGAACAGAAGGGCCTCACAGCCATCAGCCTCAGGGGCCTCTTCTGACTGGTGTGAATATGAGGGCCTCTCATACCATCAGTCTCAGGGGCCTCCTCTGCCTAGTGTGAATATAAGGGCTTCCCAGGCCATCAGTCTCAGGGGACTCTTCTGGCTGGTGCCGGATTGAGGGACCTCCTAGACCGAAAGTTTTGGGGGTCTCCTCTGGCCAGTATGAATAGAAGGGCCTCTCAGTCCATCAGTCTCATGGGCCTCTTCTGCCTGGTGTGATTATAAGGGCCTCTCAGGTCATCAGTCTCAGGGGCCTCCTCTGACTACAGTGTAGATGGATAGGCCTCCCAGACCAGTATGGATGTTGGGGCCTCCTCAGATCCACTAGGGCCTCTCAGGCCATCAGTCTCAGGGGCTTCGACTGACAAGTATGAACAGAGGGCCTCCTTGGATCCATCACGGCCCCTTGGAGTCCGTGCGTGGGGATTCGTGGAACTTATTTTTACGGAGTTTGTTTATTCTGGAAGGTGACGACGTCCTCTCAAATGGAGACGAGGGGCCTCGAGTAAAAAGTGGGTGGGCCAAAACACATGGTTGGCCCCCCCACCTCGAAAAGTGGGTGGGCACTTGCCCACCTGGCCCCCCCTGTTCCTACGCCTATGGTGACAACTGTGGTGCCTTGCAGCGAGGTAGCTTCAAAGTCGCAGCGCGCCGTCTGGCGGGATAGGTGAGCGACTAGCGAGTGTGGTAAGGTTGTGATCGGAGGAGTGTACAGCAGAGGGTACGGTGTTAAAGACAAGTAGGTACGTAGCTAGCTGTGTTACTGTGTATTGAGTCCGTGAGGCGAGCGTTAGCCGTTAGGCTAGGTAAATTGCATGCCTAACTACTATGGTATAGCGTGTGCGCGATAGCCTATATTAAAGGGACCCTCCCACCTTAACATTAGATTTGAGTTGAGATAGCCAAAGTGGGGTCCCTGGCTCACAATTACCGGTTTCGGCACTCACAACATCGAGAAATGCCTTAAATAGGAAATATTGAATTTCAAAATTGCAGCATTTTGATTCAGAGGGCTAGTGCATAGGAATACCCCTCTGAATGTGTGACGTCAGCGCAGATATCTAACGATTTTTAAATGTTTGACTAAAACGTTTTGTAGCACGCGGTGGTATATGCTGCTTTGCGCGCAACAAGTGCCGCACTTTCAGCTGCCAAACTATTGGTTCCAAATAAAGTCGCTAGGAACAGCTAAGATCCCAAAAACTAAACAAAAGTAAAAGTCTAATATCTTGAAAACCGGTGAATATTTTTCGGTGAAATTTGGTAGATATTCGTTTTCGCTCTTTCTGAACCGAGCGACATCACTTTCATGCCAATTCATAAACTTTTTTGAAGGTGGGAGGGTCCCTTTAATCCAGGTTATTTCTTGGTGCTTTTACTTATGAAATGAAATGAATTATTATATTCATGAACTAAGAGACATAGTTGTTTCCTCTATACCTATTACCTACCCTGACTGTTTCACAGATTTCTAAATCCCATGAGCGGCTACTTCTCGTACGGCGGCGGGGGCGGGGGCGGGGGCGGCTACCCGCCCTACCCGGGCGGTCCCCCGGGCGGGGTGCAGCCCTCTGCACCCGCTGACACCCCTCAGTACGCCACGCGCGGCCAGCCGGCACCCGTCGGCTTCAACGTCACTCTGGTATGGTCACGTGACGCGTAAATGACGTCATTGGTTTACCAGGGCTGGCTGTTTTATTTTTCTTGGTTAGGTATCTCGCTACGCTACATTTTGACACCGCGTTGAAGCGTTTTACCGAGGCTCAGATTAAATCGAAGTTAAATCGCAATCAGTTTACCTAACAATTTTAAACTATAGCTTCGATGTTCTACAGGTATCAAAGTCTAATAAAAGCTTTATTGTTAGTAGTGCATTATCAATTAGGTATGCAAAGCCCATAGCCACTGGCTGAGACAAAGTGATTTCTATTCCGCCCACGTGCGTTTGAAACTATCCTGTCGCTTCCCAAGCCTTGTGTAATCGTTTGCTGCAATTATGACCACTGTTTCATTGCTTTGGTTCCTAACAATCTTATTAAATACTGTTTACTTGTTTCAGGATCAGCCATCAGGATATCCGCCGTACCCTGGAGCTCAGCCTGGATATCCCAACTCACAGCCAGGATATCCTAACTCACAGCCAGGATATCCTAACTCAAAGCCAGGATATCCCAACCCACAGTCAGGATATCCTAGCTCACAGCCCGGATATCCTAGCTGAAATCCTAGATATCCTCAGCGATCCCAGCCTGGATATCCACCCACAACACAGCCTGGATATCTTGGCCAAACCCCTTCCTATCCCGGATCGCAGCCCTCAGGGTATCCTGGATCGCAACCTGAGACGTCATACCCGACCCCGGCTTCCTCGTCCTATCCCGTCCAGTCCAGCGGATATACTAGCCAGCCCGCTGGATATCCTAGTCAATCCACTGGATATCCTAGTCAATCCGCTGGATATCCTAGTTTATCCGCTGGTTACCCTAGTCAATCCGCTGGATATCCTAGTCAATCCGCTGGCTTTCCTAGCAAATCCAGTGTATCTTCTAGTCAGCCTGGATGTTTTTCCGGCCAGTATGGCGGATTTCCTGCACAACCGGGCGGATTCTCGGGTCGTCAGAGCTCCCGGCGCGTGCCTTCTCCCGCAGTATCCCCAGTCGGCCCGCTGTGCGCGACCTCCGCCGCTGGAGTCGCCTGGTACCGGGACAGGGTGAGTGACGAATATGTCCGATAGGTCTGAACACATCGAGTGCTCAAATATCAACAAGCATTACCGATGTTTCATTGGGCGGACTTTGCGAGTCGCGGCACTTTGAGAGTCCGGACTTGGAGTGGAAGTGGGAGTCAGAGTCGTGGTCAGGGTTGGTTTTGAATCGGCTCGAGAAAAGAGATGTCAACGCCGCAAATATTGCAAATATTAACCCGCGACGGGGGCCGTAAGTGTTGAGCAGTGAGCACCCTCTGAGGTTTTTTTCAGATATCTCAAAAAGTGCCACTGTTTTTGGCACACCTGTTCATGCGTCTTTTCCGCACATGGTGTGCAAATTTCAGACCTATGTCATTCAAGGTCAGGTCACCAGGTCACTTTGAGTGACCTCACCTCATACAAAGTTTCAACGTCTGTCATAGCTATACCGAATGGCCGATTGCTTTGAAACTTTCAGCGATTGATCATACTAACAGTATGTACAAAATTTGTATCTCGGAATTTTAATATATGTGACCTAAGGTCAGGTCAATTTTGCGACCTCCCCATTCGAGTCAATGGGAGAAAATTGAAATGTGTCTCTTCTGGACCAACGCCATTCTAAACACTTTAAAACACTGTAGTCGAATGTATTGGGTGCTTCTCCTGCATAGGCGCGGGAGCCGGGGGGGCAGTGGGGGCAGCTTGCCCCCCCAACTCTGGGGCCGTGGGGGCGGTGCCCCCACAGCTTTGAGACGGAATACCACACTTTTTTTGCAAATGTTTTCTTTTTTTGTTGAAAAATCCGAGGGGTGAAAAATAAGTGGCCTAAAACCGGTGAGAAACCTAGATTTGGGGGTACCCTAGGTTAATCTCTATTATGGTGTGCCCCCCCAGTCGGAAAGTAGTTCCCGCGCCCCTGTTCTCCTGCGACCGTTCCAACCACACTGCCAACCCTCCCGCGCGACCCGGCGCCGTTGCCACCGCGACTCGGCGCCCCCGCCGTCACATATGTAACAGGACACCCCCTTGGACACATTTGTCAGTGTCGGCTAGACGGCGTCCCCCAGGCGCGTCTGGGCCACGCGGCGTCTCAGCCGGTCACACAGAGCCACACATAACTATAAACTACACGTCCCCCTGATCTTTAAGATCACACATCTCCACGTACACACGCAATATGACACAATGCACTACATCAGACACTTACGGCACGAAATACGACACAATCAACACGAAAGACGAAATACATTACAGCAGTTAGCCGATATTATTCGGTACTACTACCCCGAAGCGTTCTGGCGGAGCCCCCACTCTTGCACTACGTCGCGGTTCAGTACTGTTCTGAGCCGGTGGCTCCTCAGAGGTCGGCTGCGGCAGCTCCACCTCTACCGAGGGATCGGTCCCACCGACCGCCGATGAATGCTCTGACGCACCGAGCGACATAGCCGGCTCACTGTCGTCCTCGATCAGGGGATCGGCCGCCGTCGGCTGCCCCGTGTGCCGGTGGCGCACGCACCTAACGTGCCACGGAGTACCGTCAACTTCGATAAGCTGGTCGGTCACGATACGTGTGACGGTGCCAGGCCGGGAAACGTCAGTACAGCGAGTCGCAGGCCCGCGGCGCCGCACCCACACCAGGTCGCCCTCCCTAAAGCCGGCTCCCCGCTCAGAGTCTGCAGGGAGAGCCGGCGGCGGCCGGTCATTGTGTCCGCCGGCGCCGGTCACCGGCAGGTCACGTCCGACACGACGGAACATGCGCCGGCGGCGGGAGCGCTCTCAGCCTGCGAGCCATCTCGGGGCGTCATATTGTAGCGGTGAAGTGATTCCGCGATGGTACATCCTTTGCGGGCTGACATCACTTTGATCGTCCGGTGATGACGCTCCACGATGCCGTTCCCGCCTGCCTCGTGCACCGCCCTGAACCGCAGGGTCACGCCCCACCTCGCCGCGAACGCTCCCATGCGGCGACCACGGAACTCAGTGGCGTTATCCAGAAGCAGTTCTGCCGGCGCCCCGTGCTCCAGGAAGACGGCTTCGAGATGAGCAGTGATCTCGGCCGCGTCTGACCGGCGCAGTCGCCGCCATATTCCATAGCGGGACGGACCACAGTCGACCACGGTCAGATAGTGATCGCCACGGTAGTGTGTGACGTCGATGGCGAGACGCTCCCAGGTCAGTTGAACGCCCAGTGACCCGTGTCGCCAGCGGGTCGGTGCCGGGTCAATTGACTGGCACACGTCACACGTCCGAATCACTGCGCGCACCGCTGGCTTAGTGGCCCACCGCTCACCGTCACGCCGCAAATACCAGAGCGTGCGCCTGACACCCTGGTGTCCAATGTTCTCGTGCACCGCTCGAATTTTTGCAGCCGTGTCGGGGTGTGTGGACTCTCCGTCCGGCGCCACTGCAGCCGCCACCGGCACCGCGCCTGTCACCGCTGCTGTCTCCTCCTCTGCCCTGCAGGCTCGAAGCCATTCCTTGGGCACGCGTGTCATTTCGTCCGCCGGATTTTCATCTGACTTGACCAGCTTGATGGTGATCGTCAACTGGAACTCAGTCACCAGCTCACGGATGATGTCCACCCGGCGGCGAATCAACATCTCGGCATGAGCTTTTGTCCGGAGACGCGACCGGCCGCTCAGTGCGTCACCGACCCACTTATGTACGGTCGCCGAGTCCGTGCGGAGATCGATGACTTTGATCCCCCACGCGATCGCCATGTTGACGCCGCTGAGCGCCGCGTCCAGCTCAGCCATATTTATATGCATGGCTGCCTTAGTCTCCGGCCGCAGCCAGCTCCCGTCCTCCACTACGCCGCCTTCCGGATCCTCCAGGACGACGCCCGAGGCGAGGCTGCTGGCGTCTGTCCATACGGTCAGCTTTTCACCCGTCAGCCTCCAGGGTCCACGGGCCGGGTCATTGGAGGTCACCCTTTCAGCCACTTGGCTGACTTGAGCGCGCAGGTCCGGGTCATCGATGGGATCATCCCAGCCCTGACTGAGAGCATTAGCCCGTCTCTTTAGCCAGGCCGCAGCTGGACGCAGCCAGCCGGCCACTGGAAGGTGGGAAACCAGCTGGCCGCACCATGCAAACAGCGCCCTGCGCGTCATCACCTCTGGCGGTGCGCCGACGGGGTTGTCCCGGCGCCACTGCAGCTCTCCCGAGCGCGAACAGCTCACCTGCAGCCCCAGCATTCGAGCGCCGTCCGCCGGGCGCTGCGGTGGCTTGCAGACAAGGCCGTACCGGGAGAAGTGCTCTGCAACCTGCTCCGCGGAGATGACGTTCTCATTCACGAGAAGGTCGTCAACGTACGGGAGAACGCCCCGGCTGACCGCCTCGTTCTGGTCAAGTATAGTCCGCACCACAGATCTCATGATGTTCGGAGCTACATTCAGCCCATATGACATGCGCTGCAGGCAGTGAAGCTGACCGCGCACTCGTACGGTGTGGTATGGCCAAAGCCGTCTGTCCAGCCGGAGCTGCATGTAGGCCTTTCTCAGATCGAGCACTGCCAATCGTGAGCCGTGCCGCCGCCAGCGACGGAGTTGCTCTGCGCACACCTCTGCGTCTGCTGTATGAGCGGTGACGTGCCTGTTGAGTTCGCGATAATCCAATACCGGCCGCACCTTGTCCTTTTGGGCTGTTCAACCGCCATCAGAGGTATCAGACCGCGCGCTGGGCCGTCCACTCGCTCGTCATATGCCTGCAGCCACCCCTCTCGAGCCCACAGTTCCAGCTCCTCGTCATAGGCTGGCCGTGCCGCGTCCGGCACTTTGTACTGGGCGACTGTATTGTTGAGGCGGTCCGGGCCCTCTCCGTCTGTCCACTTCCACGCCACCGTCCACTCGCCACTGTCTGCCGAAAACCGGGCCGTAAAATCCACGGCGTCCACTGACAGGTCCCCACGGTCCACACTGGCGGCCGGCGCCGCCCCTCTCACCGGACCCGCCCCCGTCACGGGCGCCGTCCCTGCCGCGGCCTTGGCATTGGCCGCCACCACTGCCCCATTTGTCACCGGCCCTGCCGCCGCCGTCTCGCCCTGCACCGCGGCCGCCGTTCCCACGACTTTAGGGGCCACCGTACGCACAGCTGGCGTCGCCACCGCCACCGCCGCCGTCGCTGCTGGCGGCGCCGTCTCCGTTGGCACCGCTGTCCCAGCAGCTGGCCTCGCCCCTGTCACCAGCGGCGGCACCGCCACCGCCGCCGTCGTTGCTGGCGCCGCTCCTGTCACCACCGTCGGCACCGCCGGCGCCACCGCCGTCACCGCCGGTGCCGCCGCTTCCACAGCCGGCACCGCCCCCGTCACCACTGTCGGCGCCACCGCCACTGCCGCTGCCGGCACCACTGCCGCACCAAATTCCACGCCATTGGGCATCTTCACACACACTCCGCCCAGTGCCACAATACCAGACATACCGAGCACCACGTCCATGCCCAGCGGCCGATCGGGTACGACCAGGGCCGTCAGGCTCGCCCGGTTCTCCCGGTGCTGCACGGTGATCTCAGCGATGCCCAGACAGCGCAGCGTCCCGCCGTTCACGGTCATCATGTTGACCGGGCGCGGTGACCAGTCCGAGCAGGCTCCAGCACGAACGAGTGTGTCCGTGCAGCCCGTGTCCACTAGAGCACGGCACTTACGCCCGTCCACGCTGATCCACACGACCGGAAGTGTGCGCGCTACTGATTGGGAGACGGCGCTGGCGCTGACGCGGTCTCCCGACCGTTTGGGCACCTTCTTGCGATGTGACCCACCTGGTCACATACCCAACAACGCAGCGGGGGGCGGCTGGCTCTACGCTCCGTCGGCTTACGGCGGCTTGCTCCGTCGGCCTGCTCACGGGCCGCTGCCGCCACCGTGGAGGTGCGCTCGTCACTGAGCACTGCCCGCGCCCTCGTCAGAATGCTGGCCAGGTCCAGCGCCTCTGCTCGAGTGCCGGCCCGAATCGCGCTGCGGCCGGTGTCCGGCAGTCCAGCGATGAAGGCACAAGCGAGGGCCTTTTCCGATACTCCACCGTGCAGCG